AGGTCAGAGGTCAGAGGTCAGCGTGTGTGTGTGTGTGTGTGTGTGTGTGTGTGATGAGGCACTCGGGTACCTGAGGTGGGCTGGTAGACGATCCTGTAACCCATGGTGGGCGACGGCGGCGCGTCCCAGCTGATGCGGAAGCGGTTGTACCACTCCTCAGACACACGGAGGTTACTGGGAGCAGAGAGAGGCACTGCAGAGGAAGAGACCCTGACTGGGGTTTCAGTTCACAACTGATCAGTCCCTCCCTGTGAAACACAACTGGCATGTACGCACTCGTTTGTTTCATTAAAACATTCTAGTGAGACAGGAAACGGGTAGCTGACATTGTCTCTGAGGGTGTACAACTTTCATTTGTCCATTAGGACTTCATATCAATAAATGTCTAGTGTGTTTTATAACTGTACAGCATGCTTTCCATGTCTGTTGTCCCCCAATGTTTCAAAACATCCACCACTGTGCCCTTCATCAGTTAGTGCTTTGAGAACCTCATCAGAGATCACTTCTGTTCTGTTCTGCCGGCATCTCTCGACCCACTGCAGTTCGCCTACCGCAACAACCGCTCCACTGACCACGCAATTGCCTTCACCCTGCACACTGCACTTTCCCATCTGGACAAGAGGAACACCTATGTGAGAATGCTGTTTGTTGACTACAGCTCAGCGTTTAATACCATAGTGCCCCCTAAGCTTGTGGTGAAACTCCGGGCTCTGGGTCTGAATAGATCCTGGACTAGAGTTGGCAGCAATATCTCCTCCCCACTGACCCTCAACACCGGTGCCCCACAGGGCTATGTTCTCAGTCCTCTCCTGTTCTCCTTGAAGGGTCAACAGCTTCAAGTTCCTTGGTGTCCAGGACCTCACCTGGTCTCCTCACACACAGTCAGTGGTGAAGAAGGCCCACCAGCGTCTCTTCTTCCTCAGGCAACAGAAGAAATTTGGTCTGAGCCCAAAAATTCTAAAACAATTCTACAGCTGTCCGGCTGGTACGGGAACAGCATCACTCTCAACCGGAAAGCCCAGCACATCGTCGGAGGTGAGCTTCCCTTCCTCCAGGACATCTACACCCAGCGATGTGTGAGGAAAGCATGGAAGATCATCAGAGACTCCTGCCACCCGAGCTACGAACTGCTCTCACTGCTACCATCAGGCAGACGATACCACAGCATCAGGACCCACACCAGCAGACTGCGAGACTGCTGAACTCCAGCCAATAAAACAACACAACACACCTCATATACCCTTACACTGCACTTTATTACCAGACTAGTTACACTGACTCTAAGTGACAGCACTCGACGCAGGCTACATCATCTCTCTTCAGCACTCTGACGAGCTATCTGCACTAAACATCACAGCGCATTAACTGCTCTCTATAACAACATCCACATTTACCTCACTGTGTTATTACTGTGAATTATACTGACTATTACTGTCATTACTGCAACTGCATTCGATTGTAACATGAAAACGTCCTGTCTATTCCTTGTGTATACTGTGTATCTTGTGTAAATGTGTATATTGTTATTTAATGTATACTGTCAGTTATCATATGTCGTGTTGTTTATACGGCCCGTTACAGAGAATTGCGGGTACACCCGTTTACACGATGTGTGACAATAAAGAGATTTGATCTGATTTGATTTGATAGTGTTTACAATGTTTGGAGATGTTTCGATTTATTTACCAGATTTTACTAATGTAATAAAACATGACTTCTACACAGATGCGACTTATCTTTGCTTTTTTTTTCTCAATAATGCAATTATGAGCCGGTCATAATTTAGCCTGATCAATTTAGCTTTCTCAAATCAACACTTGACTTACCTACAATAAAATCCAGAGATATAAAACACTTAAAGCATATCACAATGTTAGTTTATTTTCAATTTCTAAAATATTTAATTAATTTATAAAACATTTACATTAATTACATTTATTTAAATTTGAATCAAAATTAATTTAGAAAACATTTAAATAAATTGAATTTAAATGCATGTATAAAACTTTTGTCACAACACAGTACTAGTTACAATAAACTAGTGAAGGTCAGTGGTCCTTAGAATGAGTTACAGGCCATAGAATGCACACTTTTCTCTTAGATTCATATATACTTCAACTTAAAATCTTGTTGTTAATGCAAAAGTCCCTCCTCTAACACGCTGACTGCTGTATGCGTTACCCAGAATCCCCGAGCGAGGCTCAGTGGAGAGCAGACTCACGTGTGCGTGCGAGGCGTGTGATGGGCGGCCCGTCGCCGTCGCTGTAGACCGCTGAGACGCTGAGACGGTACTCTGTGTCCGACAGAAGAGGCTGCAGCAGCAGCGAGGTCTGAGCCGCAGGAACCATGGCCTGCAGCAGAGAGAAAACACACCGTCAGTCACAGAAACCACAGTCATGAAAGGTGTTTTGATCTGAGGAATGTTCCTGCGGTGAACACAAACACATTTCAGGACGACGGCCTGTAGCGCTGCGAAACTCTGCGGCAAAAACCCACCGATAAAAACTAAACACACTCCACAGAAGACAAAACACATTCACAAGCCACAGGGAGTTTTGAGTCACTTTAACATACAAACACTGTACATTCACTGATGTTACAGCATTTGAGACCTGTTAAACGTGATGGATCACATCTGAACGTGCCATGGATCAAAAACAGCACTGCCGCAAAACATAACTCTCTTCCCTCTGATCCAGCTCTGGTTTAATCCAGTTTTCACACACGGGCTGTCATGAGAAATGTATGATGTGAAAATGACTAGGGATGCATGATATTGGATTTTAAACTATGTGTCGATATGCAAACATTTTTCAAGACATTTTGCCCCGATGCTGACACCGATATATATTTCCTTTTGATTGGAAACAGCATCAAGTCTCTCCTGTACAGAGATTATAAACAAATCATTTTACATTTTGGTTAGTTTTTAACAAAAACGTACTTTTTAGGGTTAAATAAGCAATAATGAAGTTATTTTATAATGCGAGTACATTGAAAGCTTTGAAATATAACTATAAATCAACTATAAATCAATCAAAAAATTCCCTCAGTTTTTAAGTAACCTTAACATTTTATTTGTAGATTTAATATTTGTAGATGGTCTAAAGCAAAAAACTGTAAAAATTCAGAAAATCTTTTAGAGCCCCTTGTATCATAATGTTCTCATAATGAAAAAAAGTACATATATATATATATATATATTACACATTAATGAATAAATCTGTATATATAAAATTAATTTCCAAGTGTCATGTTTGTGATTTTTATTGATGTAAGCTATAGCTTCTGACCTTTAAATCTCTGAGGTCACCAAAGGGTCAAAGGTCAGAGACATGCCAAAACAATTCAGTTCACAGTGGCCGGATGCGCTCTCACCTTATTGGTCTCCACAGCGTCCGTCTTCACATAAACAATACGGTAACCTTTGACCTTACGAGACGCCGCGTCCCACGAGAGTTTAGCGGAGCTGTGACTGACGTCTGAGATGCGCAGATTACGAGCCGGAGTCAGACGGACTGAGAGCGAGAGAGTCAGGCAGATGATATTATCAGCTCTTCTCTGGTGAAGGCTAGTATTTAGCACACACATGTGTTTCTCTGATGTGTTGCGTGTCTGGGGTTTGGACTCACGCGTGGTCTCCTGCGCGGTCATGGGGTCACTGGCTTCCTCTCCATACAGGGCATAAACAGTCACTGTGTATTCGGTCGCAGGAGTTAAACCTTCCAGTTCAACCTGAGTCACGGAGTCGGACACTTTAACCTGTAAACACACAAACACACACTCACTAGTAAGGGATACTCACAGATCTGAGAGCATCTACATTCATGCATGTTCCAGCCGGGTGTCATCGACTGATTCTAGTCCAAATCTTCACGCTGGACATTCGCATGCAGTGTGAGAGGACCTGTAGTGTGTGTGTGTGTGTGTGTGTATTCCACCTCCTTCTCGTCCGCGGGGTCACCCTCCGTCAGAGGCGCGTACAGGATCATGTACCCAGAAGCCCCCTCTGCCTCCCGCCAGCGCGCACGCATGCTACTGTGAGTGATGTCATGCAGCTCCAGATTACTGACCGTCGGCAACGCCACTGAACGACAAACACAACAATCAACAAACCATACAGACACAAGAAGTACTGCAGGATTCACTTCTGCAGGAGAATAAAACAGATCAGACATATACAACTGATCATTTCAGCACAGATCAGATGAGTTTAACATATCAGACATATTAAACAGATCAGGTGAGTACTAATAGATCAGATGCACAAATGATCAGTTCAAAACAAAATAACAGATCAGATGTGAAAATAAATCAGATGTAATGAATAGATCAGATGTAATAAAAGATCTGATGTAATAATAGATAGGACGGTGTATTAATAGATCAGATGTGATTATAGATCAGACGTGTATTAACAGATCACATGTGGTAACAGATGAGATGTGATTTTAGATCATACGTGATAGATCAGATGTAATGATCAGATCTGATCTGATAACAGATCAGATGTGATAATAGATCAGATGTAATGATCAGATCAGATGTGATAACAGACCACATGTTATATCAGATCAGATGTGATAACAGATCAGATGTGATAATAGATCAGATGTAATGATCAGATCAGATGTGATAACAGACCACATGTTATATCAGATCAGATGTGATAATAGATCAGATGTAATGATCAGATCAGATGCACTCACAGGTGGTCTCGCTGCCTCTCAGAGCTTCACTGGCTGCGTTGCTGTAGATGGCGAACACAGTGATCTGATACTCCGTCAGAGAGTTCAGATACCTCAACACCACAGAGTTATCATCGCCGTTCACCACCACCTGCACAACACACCACATTCACACACACGGATGCACAGCTGTGTCTTTCACTAGTTCTCCTAAACTAACATTCACAGAGGAAGGTTCAAAATAATGGATCATGAGGCCTTTTCTATTATTGAGGCCAGCTAAAATGTCTTTAAAAGTGACATGCTTCACTACATTACTGAAGATCATAAGTATACACACACACCTCTTCGGGTCTGGATTCACTGGATGAGTAATACACCACTCTGTACTTCTCCACCGGCCCTGCAGCATGGGTCCATGACACACGGAAGCTCCTGGCCATGACCTCAGAGGTCACAAGGTTACTGGGAGCGTCCAGTGACCTCGTGGAATATGAATCTGTCTCACCTGAAAACACACAGAAGCTTTACATCATCTAAGCAGGATGGTATAAAAGCTTAAATACAAGCTGCTGTTAAATATTAAAGTTTCAGCTTTGTTAAAGGGGTCATATGATGTTGCTAAAAAGAACATTATTTTGTGTATTTGGTGTAATGAAATGTGTTTATACGGTTTAAGGTTCAAAAAACACATTATTTTCCACATACTGTACATTATTGTTTCTCCTCTATGCCCCGCCTTTCTGAAACGCGTCGATTTTTACAAAACTCATCGGTCTGAAAAGCGAGGTGTGCTCTGACTGGCCAGCTATCCGGTGCGTTGTGATTGGCCGAATACCTCAAGCATGTGACGGAAATGTTACACCCCTTACCATACTGTGATGCCCTGTCAGACCGGAGCGATGATTCAAAAACATGAAAACCCATTATAAACGAGGCATTCGTTGCATCCAGTGGGGACATAATTATGGATTATAATGACTTATACTGTCTTTTTACGCGTTGCATCGCGCCGCGTAAACAAAACCATGTCTGCATTTGTGATCGGAGAAATCGCGCGCGCGCGCACACACACACACACACACACACACACGATGCTCAAAACTCCGCATTTGAACAGTCAATAGCAGATACTTAAACTAATAACAAAACAGTAACTGATTCAGAAGCACCAGGATTGTCATAGCAAAGTCAGAATTACCTCCTCTCCTAGGTTCACTAAACGGTCGTCCATAGAATGCATTGCTGTTCTGTTGTAAGTGATCTTAAAGATTCCTAAATGCATCTACTTTCGGAAGGCCAAATAAAGTGCTTTTGCTTTCGCACTGAATCACACAGCGTCTCCCTGACATGGCTGCATCAACACTACTGCTGTTTCTGAAACCACGCCTTCTTTCTTTGCGTGCACGTTTGGGCGGCATTATGCTAATATTTCCACATAGTGATGTAGATATGTGGGGGCGTGTTAGAACGAGGCGTTTTAGGTAGGCGTGGTTGACTCTTAACTTTTATAAAGAATATCTCTTTGGATTTGAGACTTTAGTCTTTGCAACTTTACAGATCTTCTTTATGCACCAAGAGCTTGTAACACTCCAAAGAGAAAGGAACAATTTAAATTGCATCATATGACCTCTTTAAAGGTTTCTCAATGGTCACTCTAACAGTGAGGACACCACAACCCAAGCATCATTTTCAGTGGAAATGACAGTCACAGATGCTACCATTAGAGTGTGAGACTCAATCAGCCCGGAGCAAAGATGTCACAAAACTCCCAGAAACCCACCGCTGATCTCTCTGCTGAGTTCAGAGACGCGCTCGCAGACGCTCCTGGTCAGTCCCTCCACGATGGAGCTCATCACGCTGAAATCAGCCACGTTATACATGTGTGTTTCCTCCGGCGGAGAGGCGATGGCTCTCAGCTCATTCTCATCTGCGTTCTTCACTCCTGCAGATTCACACAGTCAGAAAAAACTATTCATTTACAAACCCGTATCTGAGTCGGAGCTGGTTTTGTTCTGGTACCGATAGCAAACAGCTCAATCCCAGCGTCTCTGAGTCTCTGAGCAGGAGAAAGAACATCGTCCTGTGATTTCCCATCTGTGATCAGAATCCCAATCTTAGGAACGTCAGGTCTGGATCCAGATTCAGCTTTGAAGCTGTTCTCCAGAATATATGTCAGAGCAAGACCTGGAAAAACACACACATGTACGAAAAGATGCGTTACAGTGAGAATGAAGTCATATAAATCTAAGCTTTGTGTGTGTGTGTGTGTGTATGTGAGTTTGAGTGAGGGTTTATATGAGTGCAAGTTTGTATGAGTGAGTTTGTGTATATGAGTGTGAGTTTGTGTGAGTGTGAATTTGAGTGAGTTTGTGTGAGT